GGGGAAGAGGTAGGGCAGTGAGAGACGGCCTATGGCAGCAGTGGCAGGGGAGGAGTAGCGCGCGACTACTGCGTCGTACAGCTCCTTGGCGGTCTTATGCTGTCCGAAGTGCTCGCGCTCATCTAACGGTAGGTGACTGCGAACAGCTAGGCGAGCGTGTGCATCACGGGTCTGCCACTGGGAGCGAGTAGTAGTGTCAGGGAGGCGGGTGACAAGGTGGTACAGTGTGAGGTACATCGGGGGGGGATTCTTGGCGAGGAAATCGGGGGGGAGCACGGCACAGTAGCGGAGGTCACTGGTACGAAGGTGGGTGATGAGGTCAGCTACAGTGGCAAAGGAGAACAGGTCGGGGAAGAGGTAGGGCAGTGAGAGAGGGCCTATAGCAGCAGTGGCAGGGGAGGAGTAGCGCGCGGCTACTGCGTCGTACAACTCCTTGGCGGTCTTATGCTGTCCGAAGTGCTCGCACTCATCTAACGGTAGGTGACTGCGAACGGCTAGGCGAGCGTGAGCATCACGGGTCTGCCACTGGGAGCGAGCAGTGCTGTCAGCAGTAGCGGGAGGTGCGAGAGCAGCGCCGGACGTGTGGTCATAGAGGGAAACATCGTCCTTGGCAGTGATTTGGAGGTACAGGTGCAGGTCATCAAGCCAGACATCGAACTTGATCCGGCGGCCCCCGGCGTCAAAGGTGAGAACAGTGGGACTGGCCATAGTGGCAGTAGCAAGTAGCAGTAGCAACAGTAGTAGCAGTAGCAACAGTAGTAGCAGTAGGAGCAGGTAGGGCGGTGCGACTCGGTCAGGGCGGCGCGACTCGGGCGGCGCGACTCGGGCGACGCGGCTCGTGTGGGTAAGGCGGCGCGACGGCGGGCCTATGCTCAGTGCACGGCGGCGCCTAGGGTGCGGCTGCGCGCGGGCCGCGGCTGCGTTCTAGCGGCGGCTAAGCGCGGGCTGCAACAGCCGACGCGCGATCGCCGCGGCGCGCTTGCTGCGACCTGCGGGCGGGCGGCTGTGGGTTGCGCGTCGGCCTAGAAGCTAGTGGGGCCTACGGGCGACGGCCTGCTGGGGCTCGCGAGAAAAAAACGAGCCGCCCTAGGCGGCGGTTTTCCTACGCGCGCTAAAACGGCGGGGCCGCAGTCGGGCTGCTAGCAGGCTGCACACGGGCCGCGTGAGAGGAGAGCGCACGAGGGCGCTAAAAAAAAAGAGGGCGCACGAGGGCACCACTAGCGGAACGGTGGGCCCTTAGGTCTAGAACCTATAGCTCTTAATACCATGTCAGAAACAAGAAGTGATTGAACTATGAAAAGTTGGAGTACAAGTACCAAACCCTAGATTTGTGTACCCCCTAAAGGCTAACCCACTATAGCCTACACAACAATAACACATATAGTGTTTGACATGAACCAACGACGGAATGGTCCGAGATGCTGGACATGTAACTAGCACTACAACGAGCCAAAAACCAAAGACGAGCGGGTAGACCGCCACGGGACAGAGCCAGAACCAAGGCTGAAGGTGTAACCCTGTGACGACCGCTGCGTAGCCTGGTCGTCAGCCCAAGAAGCGTCTGCATGACCTATGAGGACCACTGGACGTTGCCCTCCAAGCACTAGCCCCATGCCCGACGTACTGCACAAGTAGTGCAACACCCTCTTCGCTGCAGCCATGTGCTCTGGTCGGTGTCTCCCAGGAGCCACATAGCGTGCCAAGATGCTAAGAGGGTATGCTAGGTCAGGTCGTGTGCAGGTCATCAGGTACATGAGGCAGCCAACAAGCTCTGGGTACGGGCCACTCGGCTCTATGGGCTCATTCGAAGGCAGAGCTGAGAGCGAGTGGCGAGTAGACACAGGAGTGGCCTGAGGCGAGGAGTACGTGAAGTCGAAGCGCTGAAGGACCTGCTGCACCATGTGTGACTAAGTTAGGGTAATGGTGTGCTGTGCTCTGTCCCGGGTGATCTGCAAGCCAAGGTAGCTGCGCAGTTCACCTAGGTCTGTGCACGTGTGTCTCTTCTGCAGCTCGGACTTCACGTAGGCGAGTCCAGCAGTGTCAGCAGTGGCAAAGACCAAGTTGTCGACGTACACGAGGATGTAGAACGGCGGCAAAGAGGTGTCGGTGCGCAGAAACAGCGACGGGTCGGCAATAGAAGGAGCAAACCCAAGAGCCGCAAGTGTAGTCCTCAGTGTGTCGTGCCACTCACGGGCGCCTGGCAAAGACCGTAGACTGGACGCCGGAGGCTCCACTGGGTACCAGGAGGGAACGACCCAGTGAAGCCTGGTGGGCGGCGCAGCCAGATCTCCTCGTGCAGGCTGCCCTGGAAGAAAGCTGTGCTGAAGTAAAGAGAGTGAAGCTCGTAGTCGCGCTGAGCGGCTATGTGCAGAGGAACCCGAAGAGTGGTCATCTTCGGGATGGGAGAGAAGGTCTGAAAGTAGTCAACTCCCTGCCGCTGACTGAAGCCTCGAGCCACGTACCTGAAAATCCTTGGAGTACAGACGGAGAACCCGGCGGCCGCTTCACCCTGAAAATCCACATGCCACTGACGATGTTCGCCCCAGGTGGGGGAACCTCGTCGACGTAGGTGCCTGTGGACTTCCAGGATGCCATCTCTCCGTCCATGGCTGACTGCCACTGTGAGGAGTAGGGACCCTTGATCGCCTCAGCGTACAATCGAGGAGTCGGGATGTCTGGTGCATCCGGGTCTCCCTCAGGGGCAATCAGCGTGGAAACGAGATGGCGCAAAGCAGCAGCAAAACACTGGAACTCCTCCTGCCTGTCCTCAAGGACGTCCGTGCTAAGAGCACACTCACCCCCGACGGACGGAGGATAGACGACTCAGACTCAGCAACAAGAGTAGCAGCGTAGTCTAGACGACAGCGAGCTGAAGTCAAGAGAGTGCAACTCGTAGTCACGGTGAGCAGCAACGTGCAGCAGTACCCGAAGAGTGGTCATCTTCGGGGTGGGAGAGAAGGTCTGAAAGTAGTCAACTCCCTGCCGCTGACTGAAACCACGAGCCACGTACCGTGGCTTGAAGACAGGCGGACAACCCGGCGGCCGCTTCACCTTGAAGATCCACATGCCACTGCCGATGTTCGCCCAAGGCGGGGGAACCTCGTCAACGTTGGTGCCTGTGGACTTCCAGGAAGCCATCTCTGTGTCCATAGCTGCCTGCCACTGAGAAGAGTAGGGACCCTCTATCGCCTCCGCGTAAGAGCGAGGAGTCGGGATGTCAAGTGCATCCGGGTCTCCCTTAAGGGTAAGCAGTATGGACACGAGATGAGGTGAAACAGCTGCCAGACACTCGAACTCCTCCTGCCTGTCCTCAAGGACGTCCGTGCTAAGAGCACACTCACCCCCGACGGACAGAGGACAGACGACTCAGACTCAGCAACAAGAGTAGCAACGTAGTCTAGACGACAGCGAGCAGCGAAGTCGACAAGCTCAGCCACTAAGGCAGACGCAGCAGTGGACTCAAAAGAAGGGTCAGTGACAACAGTAGCCAGGAGACGCGTGACAAAAAGACTGCAGCACGAAGAGAGTCACACTCACGTTCAGCCAGAGTAGGAAGAGAGGACTGTGGAGGAGACAGCAACGGGACACGCAGAGGAGCAGTGGAAGGACGCAGTGCCATCTGGTGTGTGCTGGGGACCGTAGGAGTACGCGGACGCGGAGCACGACCACTAGTGCGAGCAGCACGAACAGGTGACGCAGGACGAGACGCAGGCTCACGACGCTCAGCAAGACCTTCAGTAGGACCAGTGTAGGGAGAAGGAGCAGGCAGGGGGGAGGCAGGCTGTAACTGTGACCGCAACTGGACAGGCTGTGGACACGCTAAGGGAGGAGGAGGACCAGTACAGGGCGGGAGACCAAGAACCTGCTCAAGGAGCGGAACGAAGTACAGCCTCGGCCGCGCAGCGCCTCCAGAACAAGCAGGGACAACACCAGTACCCCCAGCGGCAGCACCAGCGCCAGCAGCACCTCCAGCTCCAACAGCGCCAACTCCAGCACCCGCAGAAGCACCACCGCCAGTAGAACCACCAGCGCCAACACCCCCAACAGCTCCAGCTCCAGCAATTCCAGCTCCAGCAGCTCCAGCAGCACCAGCTCCAGTAGCACCTCCAGTAGGACGCCCAGTCTCAGCAGTTCCAAAACCGCCAGAACGAGAACCTCTAGAACCAGCAGCAACAGTAGTACCTCCAGCTCCAACAGCACGGCTCCAACGCTAGGTAAACAACTCGCGCAACTCCTGCGGAGAGAGTAGCTCCCGCCTCGACGAAGCACCGCCAGAGGCCACACGAGTAGGCCCAACACCCCCAGGCTCCGCACCCCCTGGCTCCGCACCCCCAGGCTCCGCACCTCCAGGCTCAGCACCCCCAGGCTCCGCACCCCCAGGTTCTGCACCCCCAGTCTCAGCACCCCCAGACTCAGCACCCCCAGGCTTCGCACCCCCAGACCCGGCACCCGCAGGCACAGCGCCCCTAGCAGCACCAGAGTCAACAGCTACCTCGACAGGCTCGACTGCGTCTTCCTCAAACGCTCCTGACCCTGGCCACGGACGCGGGCTGGGCCCCACACGTCCATGTGAAGAGTCTGCAGGGGAGCCTCGTTCGGAGGAAACTCGGAGGAGTGAGGAGCAGCGCGCTGCCGCCCCTCGACGCAGGGGACGCAGGTAGGGGCAGGCCCCGGAGGTAGGGGAGGGAGAGACCGGGGGAAACCAGAGACAAGGACACGAGAGGCCATGCCTCGGAGACGAGGCAGGGAGGGGTGACCAAGGCGGTGGTGCCAAAGGAGAGTCTGGTGGGACAGGAGACGACACGAGCAGGGCGCAGACTCAGGACCAGACGTGGACGCTGCAGCAAGCACCTGACTCGACGCAGCTACCTGACCAGACGCAGCTACCTGACCAGACGCAGGAACAGGAGGACACTCAGTGGTCAGTGTGTACAGGCTCGACCCCGGCTGACGGGTAAACGTGGCCAAGTGTCGGCCCGTCCGAGCACACGTACTGTGGGTCACCCGCTGACTTGCAGGTGTGAACTGGTGAACTGCCTGATCCTCAGATCAGCTCCACTCACCAATTTCTTAGAGAACGAGGGGAGGTAGAGACCCGACAGAGTGCAAGAGGGGGCTGCCGGACACGGTAAGACAGTGGAGAAGCGAGCAAGGACAGGAACCCCAGAGGGGTCCGCCAAGGAGACCGCAACCGGCCGACTAAGTGGCGTAAGCGTGGTGCGGTCTCGGAAGAAGGAGCGAGAAGCACCTGAGTCAAAGGTGAAGGTGTGCAAGGCCTGAGCCGACGTGGTACCTGAGAGAGCAGACTCACCAGCACGTGGGGCAGCTGACGCACTAGCACCTGGAGTAGCAGCCTCACCAGCACCTAGAGCAGCAGCCTCAATGCCCGGGTCAGGCGGAACACATAGGTAACAGTCACCCTCATCACTAGTAGACACATCATACATGGCAGCAAGAATAGCATCAAAGTCAAAATCAAAGATAGCTACCCCTACCCTAGACAGCTCTCCCCAGCGAGGGATCTCAGTGGCGTCAGGGAACTGATGACGCCAAGCATCCGTCAGGCGGCCGAAGCAGCGCTGGGTGGAGTGCGAGCCCCCGCACTGCTCACCAGCGCGATCGCCTATACGGAGAACGTAGGTGCAGGGACCAGTACCCCCACCCCGCTAACACCCAGCGTACCACTCACGAAGCTACTGAGGGGACAGGGTCTCACGGCCGCGGTGCTGCTGCTGGCGCGAACCACCACCGGAGCCACTCCTCTGCGCAGAGCCGTGACCAGCTCCACCGGCACCTCCGCCGCCTCCACCGCCTCCGCCGCCTCCTCCACCACCGCCGCCTCCGCTCCCTCCGCTACCGCCGCCGCCTCCTCCGCCTCCACTGCTGCCACCGACACCTCCACCCCCGCCACCACTCCCACCACCACCCCCACCCCCTCCACTGCCTCCACCACCACCTCCACTACCCCCACTGGTCCCTCGAGCGCCCTTGCCCCCCTTGCCCTTGCATGTAAGGCGCTTCCGCGAAGGGGCAGACGCAGCGCCGACCGACTCGAAACCAACGTGGTCGGCCGCAGCAGCAGAAGCAACAGAGGGCAAGAGAGGGGAGGGAGAACACCCCTCAAAGACGGGGGTGCGAGGGTCACCACGGGAGGCTCCTACAGCAACTATGCTCTTCTCTGCTGCTAGGAGGCGCTCCTCAAGGAGGTCAACGGTGAGTGTTGTAGAGGAAGTGGTCCCTGACTAAGCGAAGGGAGTCAGGGAGTCAGGTGACTATGTAGTAGAGGGTGATGTACATGGAGGGGGGGGGTTCTTGGCACAGAACTCAGCAGGAAGCGCAGCGCGGTAGCGAGTGTCACTAGTGCGAAGGTGCGTAATGAGGTCAACGACAGTGGGAAAGGCAGCAAGGTCAGGGAACAGGTAGGGTAGCATGAGGCGGCTAAGTGCAGCAGTGGCAGGGGAAGAGTAGCGCGCAACTACAACGTCGTACAAGGTCTTAGCACTCTTGTACTCGCTAAAGTGCGCACGCTCAGTGGTCGGTAAGTGGCGACGCACAGCAAGGCGTGCACCAGCATCGCGTGTGGCCCACTGTGACCGAACAGTGCTGTCAGCAGTAGCAGGCGCGGCAGGAGAGACACCCGAGGTGAGATCAAACAGTGAGAGTCCGTCCGCCCTACCGTACTGTAAGAACAGCTGGAGGTCATCGACCCAGACCTCAAAGTCAACAGCATGACCCTCAGTCTCAAAAGTAAGGACACTGGGGGTAGCCATGACTGCAGTGGCCTATCAGGGAGGGAGCTCACCAGTCCAAGGAAGTAGGGCCGGGGCGCGCCGGAAGGAAGGGCGGCTCGGCGGCTCGACTGCTGGGCGGCTCGGCGGCTCGGGTGCTCGGCTGCTCGGCGGCTCGGCTGCTGGGCGGCTCGGCGGCTCGGCTGCTCGGCTGCTCGGCGGCTTGGTTGCTGGGCGGCTCGGGTGCTGGTCGGCTCGGCGGCTCGGCGGCTGGGCGGCTCGGTGGCTCGGCTGCTGGGCAGCTCGGCGGCTCTGCTGCTGTGCGCCTCGGCTGCTGGGCTGCTGGCAGCGTGGAAGGGGCCGCGAGGGTCGGCGTCGGGGCCGGTAGGGTGGCGGCGGGGCCGCTGAGGGCGGTGACAGGGCCGGTAGGGTCGACGATGGGGCCGGAAGGGAGGCGGCGGGGCCGCTGAGGGCGGCGACAGGGCCGCGAGGGTCGGCAACGGGGCCGGTAGGGAGGCGGCGGGGCCGCTGAGGGCGGCCACAGGGCCGCGAGGGTCGGCAACGGGCCGGCAGGGTCGGTAGGGTCGGCGACGGGGCCGCTGAGGGCGGCGACGGGGCCGCTGAGGGCGGCGACGGGGCCGGCAGGGTCGGGGACGGGGCCGGCGAGGGCGGCGACGGGGCCGATAGGGCGGCGACGGGGCCGCGGATGGCGGCGATGGGGCCGCAGGGGCGGCGACGGGGCCGCAGGGGTCAGCGACGGGGCAGCAAGGGCGGCGACGGGGCCGCAAGGGTCGGCGACGGTGCCGACAGGGCGGCGACGGGGTCGCAAGGGTCGGCGACGGGGCCGACAGGGCGGCGACAGGGCCGCTTCGGGCGGCGACGGGGCCGCAAGGGTCGGAGACGGGGCCAATAGGGCGGCGACGGGGCCGCTTAGGGCGGCTACGGGGCCGCTAGGGTCGGCAACAGGGCCGGCAGGGCGGCGACGGGGCCGCGAGGGTCGGCTACAGGGCCGGCAGGACGGCGATGGGGCCGTGAGAGGGGCCAAGAGGGGCCGTGAAAGGGGGCCGCTAGGGGCCTGAGGAGGGCGCGACGGGCCGCTAGGGGCTAGGGACGCGACGGTAGGGAGGGCACACGGGGCGCGACTCGGGCAGAAGCGAAGCGCGCTCCGAGCAGGAAAAAAAAAATCGTGGTGGGCCCTAGGAAGCGTTCCCACTATGGAACCTGCTCTATACCATGTGAAGAAACTAGGAAGGAATGATTGCATTGAGCAGCGTGAGGAGTACAAGTAGGAAACCCTAAAGTGTTGTACCCCATATTGACTACCCCACTACAGCCTAAACAGACTATGGCATATAAGTTCGACATGCCGCGCCCGACGGGATGGGGATTTTTCACCGGGCAAGATAAAGGGGTAACTCGATTTCAGCATGGCAGAACTTTGTTGTTACTGTAAATTGTTCGCAAGAATTGTGCAGCCTGTGATGCGATGCATCATGTAGACCAGCTTGTGTCTGGTCCACGTCTGGTCCGCGAACTAAGTTCGTACGACCAGAATTGCGGACCAGACATGCATTTTTTTGCAGCGGACCAGGTCGGGGTGGACCAGTCACATGAGACTTCTTAACACCATCTGGAGTACGCCCTAACGTTCTTTCACCACCTTACTTCCACGCCGTCCCTGCCACTACCTCCAGTACCTCCAGAAATAGTTGTAAGCCAATAACGATGCAGCAACGCCGATTGTGAAAATGAGAACGAGGATGAAATGACTATGAATGAAGTGAGTACATATAGGAAACCCTAATTGAGTTGTACCCCCTATGGGATACCCCACTATAGCCTACACAAATAAGTAAGCTATAATGTTCTGACACACCCCCATAGGCAAAGTGGGGGAGAACAAGGGGTCACAAGACCAGTCAAGCAAAGCAGGGCAAAGCTCAGGGTGGATCACAAAGTCACCACACATTCCGAGCACAAGTTCAAAGGCAAAAAGGCCAGTTCACATGCAAGAACACATACATATAGATATACAAGAGGCTAAGCAAGCAAGAGCAAGAGTATATATAAGTGACAGTACAAGCAAGGTCAAGAAGTGAGCAAGTGAGGCAAGACAGGCACAAGACCCAACTGAGTGCACAAGCGCTGATGATCACAAGGCGCAAGTGCCTTGGTGAAGACATCAGCAGTGTTGGCCTCAGAGGCCACGTACGCAAGCCGCAACTGTCCACGCTGCTGTAGCTCACGAGCAAGAAAGTAGCGGAGAGCAATGTGCTTTGTCCTGTGCTCCAGTCGCTGCTCTCGACACAAGGCCAGCATGGCCTCGTTGTCTACGTACAGGACTGGAGGAGAACGATGCGGCTCTCCAAGGTCGGTCAGCAGGTAGGTGAGCCAGCGAAGCTCCTGGGCAGCCATAGCCCCGGCGTAGATCTCAGCCTCACAACTGGAGCCGAGAACAGAAGACGAGCGGGTAGCCCGCCACGAAACAGAGCTCTAGGTGTAACCCTGTGACGACCGCTGCGTAGCCTGGTCGTCAGCCCAAGAAGCGTCCGCGTGCCCAGTGAGGACCACTGGACTCCGCCCTCCAAGCACTAGCCCCATGCCCGACGTACTGCACAAGTAGCGCAACACCCTCTTCGCTGCAGCCATGTGCTCTGGTCGGTGTCTCCCAGGAGCAACATAGCGTGCGAGAATGCTAAGAGGGTATGCAAGGTCAAATCGAGTGCAGGTCATCAGGTACATGAGGCAGCCAACAAGCTCTGGATACGGGCCACTCGACTCTACGGACTCATCCGAAGGCAGAGCTGAGAGCGAGTGGCGAGTAGGCAGAGGAGTGGCCTGAGGCGAGGAGTACGTGAAGCCGAAGCGCTGAAGGACCTGCTGCACCATGTGTGACTGAGTCAAGGTAATGGTGCGGCGTGCTCTGTCCCGGGTTATCTGCAAGCCAAGGTAGCTGCGCAGTTCACCCAGGTCAGTGCACGTGTGTCTCTTCTGCAGCTCGAACTTCACGTAGGCGAGTCCAAGTGTCAGCGGTGGCAAAGACCAAGTCGTCGACGTACACGAGGATGTAGAACGGCGGTAGAGAGGTGTCGGTGGCAGAAACAGCGACGGGTCGGCAGTGGAGGGAGCAAACCCAAGAGCCGCAAGTGTAGTCCTCAGTGTGTCGTGCCACTCACGGGGCGCCTGGCGGAGACCGTAGACTGGACGCCGGAGACTCCAGTGGGTACCAGGAGGGAAAGACCCAGTGAAGCCAGGTGGGCGGCGCAGCCAGATCTCCTCGTGCAGGCTGCCCTGCAAGAACGCAGTGCTGAAGTCGAGAGAGTGCAGCTCGTAGTCACGGTGAGCAGCAATGTGCAGCAGTACCCGAAGAGTGGTCATCTTCAGGGTGGGGGAGAAGGTCTGAAAGTAGTCAACCCCCTGCCGCTGACTGAAGCCACGAGCCACGTAACGCGCCTTGAAGACAGGCGGAGAACCCGGCGGCCGCTTCACCCTGAAGATCCACATGCCACTGATGATGTTCGCCCCAGGAGGGGGGACAGTGTCAACGTAGGTGCCTGTGGACTTCCACGAAGCCATCTCTGCATCCATAGCTGCCTGCCACTGAGAGGAGTAGGGACCCTCTATCGCCTCGGCGTAAGAGTGCGGAGTCGGGATGTCAAGTGCATCCGGGTCTCCCTCAGGGGTAAGCAGTACGGACAAGAGATGCGGTGAAGCGGCTACCAGGCACTGGAACTCCTCCTGCCTGTCCTCGAGGACGTCCGTGCCAAGGGCACACTCACCCCCGACGGATGGAGGACAGACAGACTCAGACTCTGTGACAAGACTAGCAGCGTAGTCTAAGCGACAGCGAGAAGAAAAGTCGACGAGCTCAGTAACGAGGGCAGACGCAGCAGAAGACTCGAAAGAAGGGTCTGTGACGACAGTAGCAAGGAAACGCGTGACAGTAGGACTGGCAGCACGAAGAGAGTCCGACTCCGGGTCGGCAAGAGCAGGAAGAGAGGACTCAAGCAGAGAAGGTAAAAGGGCACGCAGAGGAGCGGTGGACGGACGCAGTGACATCCGGTGCGTGCCAGGGACAGGAGGAGGACGTTGACGCAAACCGCGACCACTAGCGCGTGTAGGACGAACAGGTGACGAAGGACGAGACGCAGGCTCACAATGCTCAGTAAGACCTCCAGTAGGACCAGCGTAGGGAGAAGGAGCAGGTAAGGGGGAAGCAGGCTGTAGCTGTGACTGGGACGAGACATGCTGTGGACGCTCTATCGCCTCCGCGTAAGAGCGCGGAGTCGGGATGTCAAGTGCATCCGGGTCTCCCTCAGGGGTAAGCAGTACGGACACGAGATGAGCTGAAGCAGTAGCCACACACTGGAACTCCTCCTGCCTGTCCTCAAGGACGTCCGTGCCAAGGGCACACTCACCCCCGACATACGGAGGACAGACAAACACAGACTGAGCGACAAGACTAGCAGCATAGTCTAGGCGACAGCGAGCACCAAAGTCGACGAGCTCAGCAACTATGGCAGACGCAGCAGTGGACTCAAAAGAAGGGTCAGTGACGACAGTAGCAAGGAGACGCGTAGGAGTGGCAGCACGAAGAGAGTCCGACTCCGGGTTGGCAAGAGCAGGAAGAGAGGACTCAGGAGGAGAAGGCAAAGGGGCACGCAGAGGAGTAGTGGACGGACGCAGAGACATCCGGTGCGTGCCAGGGACAGGAGGAGGACGCTAACGCGAACCGCGACCACTAGCGCGTGCAGGACGAACAGGTGACGCAGGACGAGACGCAGGCTCACGACGCTCAGTAAGACCTCCAGTAGGACCAGCGTAGGGAGAAGGAGCAGGTAAGGGGGAAGCAGGCTGTAGCTGTGACCGGGACGGGACATGCTGTGGACGCTCTAAGAGAGGAGGAGAGCCAGTAGAAATTGGAAGACCAAGAACCTGCTGCAGGAGTGGAACGAAGTACGGTCGAGGCCGCGCGGCGACGCCAGACACAGCAGGGACAGCACAAGTACCCCCAGCAGGAGCACCCGCTCAAGTAGCACCTC